TGTGAGGACGTTGCGAAATACAGACGTCCTCACAAACACTGTATTTCAACAACAACCTATGACGAAATCTCCCCCCCCCCTTCCATCGAAAAGCAGCACTTACTGTTCGACTTTCTCCTTCATCTGGAGCATCTATTACCGTTGATAATACTGCGCACCGTTTTTTCTGGAGAGGCAAAATTACCATGCAGTGGTCGATTTCAAAATTTTTGCTTTGATGTGCGAAACCCACTCCTTTCCCCGATTTTAGGGCATCTCGAGAGTGGCGATGTACACTTCTTACTACTGCTCCTTATCTCACAGTAACTCCAAACCGCTCAAATCACCTGATCCTACAGTTCAGTTGCACCGACCGTAAAACCGAACCTTTGGGACTATAATTTTTGAGAAAGTGAGACATCTGGCTCTAGTCTGTCTGCAACGAGCTCGTGGAAGTCAAGTATATCCGATTTAGTTCCTTCAAATATGATGAGTCTTCTCTGCGATGCGACAAACTTGAAAGTATAGTGGCTTCAAAAACTGATCTCTTACCTAGGGGTTTTGGAGTAACAACACTTGTCGATAGTGTTTGCAGGCTTTCAAAGTAACTTGTTTCAGGTATACAAAAGAGTCGAAGATGGCGTTCTTCGTCCTACCGATGGATGGGAAGGTGTGAAAGGTGGTCTGATGAGAACACAGTCGATAAGTCTATCTGAGAAGGATCTGACGCCCAAGGAGCAGTCGTCATGCTCTTGTTGAGCTGCGAATTGTTATATTGGAAGGTGGCTCACAGTACGGATCCCATGTTTGACAGTGGTGTTTCTTGGTGAGCTTCAATCTTAAATGTAGATGTTGTTCGCTCGATCTCAAATATGCGTCATGTGCGCTATTAACTGTTTTTTAGACTTCCGGTTAGTTTTTTTGCCATAATTTTTGATATGCATGATTCGGCCCAGCGCTCAGGTTCTACTTTAGACCTACTCCATTTCCGGGAAAGAGAGGGCGTGATTGCGCATTTCTTTAATCGTATAGGCTCCTCCGCTTTTGATGTGAATTTTCGTTTTGGGACAATTGCAGTCATGTCTTTGCCTAGCACAAGGTACTATAAAGAAACGCATCTTACGCCATGAACGAGAGAAGCACGCAGCCACGCCCTCCCTATCTTTGGGATATGGAGTGCATGTATTCATACTTCGCTCTACCTTGACTGATAGTAAAACTTTGAAGAAGACCAAAACCTTTTTGAAAACTGGTATACTCCTAGCCACTTTTAATGCCTCCTATGCTCGGTTATAACCTTCAAACTCAGAGTCTTAAGGTCGATCTATGTCATTACTATAGTGATTATTTGTTGCAAGTGTTCATTACCTATTGTTTGTTTTTCGTGGGAAATTACTGCAGTCGTGTTTTTGCCATCGGGTTTGATTATTTGAAATTTTGCTGCATATTGCTACCACCCCCAAAAATTATGAGAACGGAAGGTCCACAGCGGACCTGGCAGTGGATGTTTCAGATTCTCTGACGACTGGGATGTGCCCTTTTACATTTTTTCTAAGCTTGCAAGTGAGCCGTCAGAAACCGAGATTCTGCAGTCTGTGCTACTGAAAATTACGAATCGATATGTAGGGTTTTTTCTGACTGGAGCTTCCTTCGCCAGGTTTGCAACATACCGGACCTGTAGGTGTAAGATCGAAGCATCGTGGAAACTGTTTGTGCATGGATGCTGTTTAGAGCTGGGCAACAGTTTACAGGAAACCGGCGCTGTTTGGGCTTCAAAGGGGCATTTTGCAATTTCGCTAATCCTTGTCAAATCAAGCCACACCTTGGTGAGACCTGCAGCTCTTGTCTAGTGTACATGGAGTCCTGCTACTGTATGAGTTGACAGGAATGGTCCACATGAAGCGTGGGTAGAGATCGATGGGAACCACCAAGATGTCCTCACCAGCCGAACTGAGCTCCGGATACATCCTCGCGGTAGTCCCCTCTTCATGTCCATGGTTGGCATCTATAACATCGCTGAACATAGCACGGCCGTACGCTTCGCAGTCGCTCAGCCCCGTAGTTGTTTGACAGAACTTGCTATAAAATGACGGGTAATCGCATTATTGTTTGCGCTTTTATCACACCACCTAGTCCCACAGCTTTGTTATTCCCCAGCTTCTCTCTTTTTGTAACCCCGACATGTTAGTTGAACGTGTTTCAATTGCCCTGTGCTTGCAGCATTTATTAGCCTGCTCATACTTCGCACTTATCGCGCTATCAAATCGCCGAGTATGAATCACTCTAAGGCACAAGACAATTGAAACAGCTTCGTTGCTGTTCATCAGTTGGCTTTGTTATTGTTGTCCAATGTGCATATAATAGTTTATTGCAAATTAGCTCAAATAAAAGTGAAAAAGCAATATTATATCTTCACCGACATTCATTTATGGATATTCTAAAGAGAAATCTAAGTCACCGTAATCATTTTGTCACAGACAAATCAATGTGTATATAGTATGTGAGGGGAAATATGTTGAGCTGTACAAAAGACGCTTCGAAGATGTACAACATGAAAACGAGAATGTTTCAAAGAAAGAAAGTCATTTGTAAAAAAACAATAAGAATAAGCAAGAATTACTGGAAGTTTATGACATGGACCGTATATCCCATATCATGACTACCCTGTTTTGGGTAGCCATAACTAACTTCCCGAGCGTCTCCTGTAGATACATCGCTGTCACTCCACTTCGAAGATCGTGCGTAACCGCTAGTGGTGTAAGGCTGAACAATAGGTGTTATCATACTAATGCAAAACAAAACTAGCTGTGATGGTAGTAACAGACATCAGCTCGACGCGATAATAAAAAACCGAGCAGGATGATTGCATGGTGCAGTTGTAGAGAAAAATGTTCAAAAAATCAAAAATATGAACACAAACAATTTAGCTGACGAAGTTCATCGATATGAGCAGTTGCCCGCATTCCGAAAACATCAACGGTACCCCTTTAATGTTCACAGCACGCGGGTGTTCATAGTGGGAAAAATTGAGGGCCGTTTCGAGGACACTTATCAGTGATCGCCTTTGTCAGCTTCTCCATTCTTCATTTAGGCGAAGTCCATGTAATAACTGAGCCTTGTTCACTGTCTGCGATTCTGCGGGGTCGACAAAAGAAGCTGATCAGCGGAAAGGTTTTGATACGTATCGACATGGAGAGTTGGCGAAGTGAGCAGACGTATGCAGCGCCCTTGTGAAAAGAAATGGATACATATAGATTCCGGTCTAATGAAGAATGGTGGAGCTAGCGAAGCTGGCAATTGACCCGACCGCTTAGCGAGTTTTCCTGATGGATAGGTA